AGTGATCATGACCTGGGGCATCTCCCCTAAGGGGAAAGGCTGAGTGCCCTGGGACTGTTCAGCCTGGAGAAGACTGAGAGGGAATCTTATCAATATTAATTAATAGCTAAAGGGTGTCAAATCACTTGAGTGGATGGGGCAAGACTTTTTTGGTCATACCCAGATACAAGACAAAGACAATGGGTACAAACTGGATCCCAGAAATTTCCATCTGAACATGAGGAAAAGCTTCTTTATTTGAGTACACGGTGCACCAGAACAAGTTTCCCAGATATGTTTTGGAGCCTTCTTCTCCAGAGATATTCAAAACCAACCTCAACACTTTCATAGAATTGAAATGGACCCTTTAAGGTCATCTCGTCCAACTCCCCTGCAATGAACAGGGATATCTACAGCTCAGAGTTGCTCAGAGCCTGGTCCAGCCTGATCTTGATTGTCTTCAGGGATGGGGCATCCACGACTTCCCTGGGCAATCTCTGCCTCATTGCCCTTGTTGTAAAAAAATTATTCTTGTCTTTATATCCAATTTGAATCTCCCCACTTTTAGTTTGAAGCCATTTCTCCCTGTCCTGTCATAGCACACCCTGTTAAACTGTCACGCACCTTTTATGTAACCTACTCTTGGGAGCCCACATTTGCTTGGAGGTTGGACAAGATGATCTCCAGAGTTCCCTTCCAACCTCTATGATTCTTTTATTCTGTAGGAACCTGCTGCTTGACTCACCAGCATCCCCAAGACCAGGAGAATGAACTGAACTCTGAACACAGAGAAAAAGTACCACAGAATTTCACAAGCGTTGCCTTCTTCTTGGGACAAATATGAGAGAAAAAGTGGGAAAAAAGAAAAAACTCTTCTTAAAAGTTGCTGATTTTTTACCAGAAAATGGTTCTTTTGTTTTTGAATTAGTGGCAAGACATGAATTTCACTTTCCCAGCTCTGCCTTGGCACTAGTACCATATTGCTGCCTGGAAGGTTATTCAAAAATTCTGTGTGCCTCCATCCCTGCCACTGGTGGTCCAGAATGAGCTGAGCTGAGATGATTGTTTGCTCATCAGATTCCCGAAACAGTCCAATTTCACAATCCTACAGCCTACATGATGCTAATGGCACAAGATTCCTGGCAGAGGTTTGACTTCTGTTAATTGCTGAGACAGCAGGAATGGAGGGAGTTTTTGGGATGGAGGGGAGGAGCCAGGGCTGTGGGGAATTCTCAAATACCCCGTTACTTGGGTACATGTCCTGCTTCCTTCCTGCAGTGTTCACTGTGATCAACATGGGGTTCATTCTCCTGCCATGTCTTTGGGGTAAGTGAAGTTCTTTTCTCTTTGATTTTATCTTGGCATACCTTTGCCAGTTGTTCTCCTCTGCCATTACTGCTTTTTTTTCCTATGGCACAAAGCAAATGTGACATTGCAAGGAAGTGAAATGCAGCTGGTGATGTCTGCAGTGAGCTGAATCCGCCTGCAATTAGTCATCCATATCTGACAGCTCAGTGTGGATGCTCAGATCCTCTCTCTGCAATCTTGGACATCCACAGCTGGACATTTGGGTGCTGCCCCTATCGGACACCCCAAGTGCCTCACTGAGTCCCAACCCTTATAAGAAAACTGCACACAGCCGGGTTCCCTGCCCTTGCTTCTGTTATGTAGATTCATAGGATCTGTAGGTTTCCACGTGTCAGAGATGGGAGCAGAACTGGAAATCTTAAAAATATCTGAAAGAAAGTGGAAAAATGGTCTATAATGCTAATGCCACTTGTGGTGTCAGCAATGCTGCTCTTCCCTGAGGCTGTTAGGGACCTTTCCAGCCTGTCATATTTAGGAGCAGAAATTGCTGTTTGCACTGAGCTCTTCTTTGTTGCTGACCTTCCACAGTGCATACAAAGTTCCCTTCTCCTGACTTCCCAGGAACAAATAGATCTTGGCAAGCTCTGCTCTCCCTTTCAGGGTTTGCTTCAGCATCTATCCAATCCCCAGATGAAGCAGTAACCACTTTGCACAGGTTTCCATCTCAAAAACACTTATTTGCAGAACCATGCCAAAAGCTGTCCATGTTGCAATTCATCCTATCTTGGATGGGAGGGTTATGCATCGTTCCACTGATTTCTGCAGAAGCCTAGATATTTTAATCAGCCTGGAAATATGACTCACTGTCTTTGGACAATCCCATCTGCTCTGTTATTTCCTCATTACTTACCCAAATAATTGTTTTTTTTCCCAGTGCTCACATTTTTTTATGTACACCTACATTCACATTTTCTTTCTTCATCTGATCTCTCAGTTGCAAAAGTCACATGAACTGAGACAGGGAAAATGCATTGGCGACAAGGAGCTGAGAATAATGATGAGCTCTTGCTGTCTCAGATATTGCCTGATGTCTTGCTTTCCTTAATCACCATGCTTTGTGAACCAATTAGATTCACACTAACATCCTGCATTTCTTTTATTTCAGCTTCCCTTGCTGGAGTCCTGTTGGCAGGTTAGTATTTGTATCAGTCAGTGGAATTGTGAGTGAGCATTCAGTTCTGTCATAAAGTGTCTCACAGAATGATGCTGTGCATAATCAAGAGATTCAAGTGTGGTGCTCAGAACAATGAGAAATTGGTCCAAATCCTGTTACTGTGGCTAATAATTTGTGCATATGTGACCTCTTTCCATTTGTATTTTGTCACAGTACTCCTGGTGGACATATTTATTCTCCATAATGACGCTGAAATGAGAAATTCAGTTCTGGGTCATTTGTCTCTGAGCCAGTACTGAACTGGATGTGACAGCATGGTGTTGATAAATGCTGAGCAACAGAAACTGGATGGGGAAGGCTTGATGGCTTTCATCATGATTAACTGGAAAATAAAACATAGTCGAGCAGCCCACAGGTTGCATATGGTTGAGTGGTGATTTGGACATAGATGGGCTGCCCATTGCCCTCTTTCATGACACTGTCCCAAAGACTCTGCTCTATTCAGCAGTGAACAACAAATAATGTTTTCAAATGCACATTTCTCGGTTGGGTCTAAAATTCAGCTCCATATTAAGACCGAGACACACCTGTGGAATTGCCAGTGCTGCTGATTACCTCTGGGCAGTTGAATCAAATCTCAATATTTGGCCAAATGAGATACCATTAGCTAACTACATTGCTAAGTGTGTTACTGTGAGAGTAATGCTCCTATTTCTGTCCATGAAAAAAAAACAAAAAGAGCGCAGTAACACAGATAAATCAAGTTCTCAGCTACAAAACACTATTTTTCAACATAGTCACCACCGTTAGCCATAGATTTTCAGCAGTGAAGAACAAGTGAAGTGGACCTTCATGCCATGCTTGTGAAAATTGTGGAATCATAGAGTCATAGAATCATGGAATGGCTTGGGTTAGAAGGAACCATCAAGTTTCAACTGCCTTATCGCAGGTGGGGTTGCCAACCATGAGATCAAGTACTAGATCAGATTGCCCAGGGCCCCATCTAACCAGGTCTTAAACACCTTCAGAGATGGGGCATCGACAGCCTCTCGGGGCATTCTGTTTCTCCACCTCACCAAACTCTGTGAATAATTTACTCTTGACATCTAATTCTCCCTTTCTTTAGTTTAATACCATTCCCCATGTCTCATCTATATACTCATTTAAAAAGTTGATTTCCCTCATTTTTATAAACTCCTTTTAAATACTGGAAGGCCACAATAGGTCTCTCCGTAGCCTTCTCTTTTCTAGGCTGAACAAGCCCAGCTCCTTTAGCCTGTCTTCATAGGAGGGATCCAGCCCTTAGTTAATCTTCTTGGCCCTCCTCTGAACTCTCTTCAACAGCTCATTTCCTGTATTGGGGGACCCAGATCTGGACACAGTACTCCTGCTGGGGCTTTACGAGGGCAGAATAGAGGGCAGAATAGAGGGGGACAATCACCTCCTTTGCCCTGCTGGCCACCCCTCTTCTGATGGAGCCCACAATATGACTGGCCTTCTATTCTGCATGTTAAAATCTGCACCAGTGGAGATGACCCACTGTTTCACAGCTTCTACAAGGCCATCATGGCTGAAACGCACCACCCATCACCTGACTGTGCTAACATCTCCATAAACTTTCAGCAATGATGAATGTCAATGGGTACAATTTTTTCCACATGGAAGAATTCAAACACTCCTCTTTGCTTCATATGCACATTTATGACTGACGCCTTTTTGTCAGAAAAACCCTCTGCACTCATAAAGCAACAAAATACAATGTAATATTGGTGAGAAGGTTCAACCTCTACTTCAATACCACGAACATCAGTCACAGAATCACAGAATCACAGAATCGTAGGGGTTGGAAGGGACCTCCAGAGATCATCGAGTCCAACCCCCCTGCCAAAGCAGGTTCCCTACACCAGGTTGCACAAGTAGGCGTCCAGGCGGGTCTTGAATATCTCCAGAGAAGGAGACTCCACCACCTCCCTGGGCAGCCTGTTCCAGTGCTCTGTCACCCTCACCGTAAAGAAGCTATTGCGCACATTGGTGCGGAACTTCCTATGCTCCAGCTTCTGGCCATTTCCCCTTGTCCTGTCTCCGCACACTGCTGAAAACAGTCTGGCTTCGCCACTTTGCCCCCCACACCTTAGATATTTATAGACCTGGATCAGGTCCCCTCTCAGTCTTCTCTTCTCAAGGCTAAACAGACCCAGATCACTTAGCCTTTCTTCATAGGGGAGATGCTCCAGGCCCTTCACCATCTTTGTGGCCCTCCGCTGGACTCTTTCCAAGAGATCCCTGTCTTTTTTGTACTGAGGAGCCCAGAACTGGACACAGTACTCCAGATGAGGCCTTACCAGGGCAGAGTAGAGGGGGAGGATCACCTCCCTCGACCTGCTGGCCACGCTCTTTTTAATGCACCCCAGAATGCCATTGGCCTTTTTGGCCACAAGTGCACACTGCTGGCTCATGGCCAACCTGTCGTCCACCAGGACACCCAGGTCCCTCTCCACAGAGCTCCTCTCCAGCAGGTCATCCCCCAACCTGTACCGGTGCATGCAATTATTCCTCCCTAGGTGCAAGACTCTACACTTGCTTTTGTTAAACCTCATCTGGTTTCTTACTGCCCAGATCTCCAACCTGTCTAGGTCTCGCTGAATGGCAGCACAGCCTTCGGGCGTGTCAGCCAATCCTCCCAACTTCGTATCATCAGCAAACTTGCTGAGGGTGGCCACTATCCCCTCATCAAGGTCATTGATGAAGATGTTGAACAGGACCGGACCCAGCACCGACCCCTGGGGAACACCGCTGGTTACAGGCCTCCAACCAGACTCTGCACGACAACCCTCTGTGCTCTGCCAGTCAGCCAGTTCTCAACCCACCTCACTGTCCACAGTCTCTGCTGTTGTGGGTCAATGTAAGAAAGTAGGAGGTATTACTTTCAGAGCAGATGTCATTGGATTTCAGCACCCACCAACAAGTGTGTAAGATATATGGCTGTCTTGTTCTGCTGTCAATAGCCACGGTTGGTGTAACATTACAGTGTGGATTTTGCTTCTGCTTTATAAAGAATTCCAAATCCAATCTATTAATCTCTCTGATTGGGAATTCTGAAGCCACAGATAAAAATTCAGAGTGTGTTCCTCATCATGATTTCTAGTTCTGGACAATGATAGTGGAGAATTTTTCTTTCCTTCATTCCCTACATGCTCTTTCCTTGTGCAAACCCTGATCCTGTTTTTGGTGGTTGATTGATTTTTTTGTTGTTCTTTCTTACTTTTTAATGCAGGAAATAGTGAAGCTATTCAACTGCGATTAGTAAATGGTAGAAATCACTGCTCTGGGAGAGTGGAGGTGCTTTATGACCAGCAATGGGGAACGGTCTGTGACGATAACTGGGATCTAATTGATGCTGAAGTTGTGTGCCGTCAGCTGGGCTGTGGGACAGCCCTATCTGCTGCTTCCTCAGCTTATTTTGGAAGAGGATCTGACCCCATTTGGCTTGATGATGTTAATTGTAAAGGAACTGAAGCTGCCCTGTCTGAATGCACTGCAAAACCTTGGGGAAAACATGACTGTGGGCATGGAGAAGATGCTGGTGTTGTATGCTCAGGTAACTCTCATCCTACATGACACAACTGAGTTTAGGATGATGCTGTAGATGCTGTAGGGAGCTCTGTTCCCTTTGGAGAAAAGAAAACCCCAGCACTCAGAGAACCACAAGGTAAATGTGGTTTGTACTGCCATGGTCTTCCCTATACTAAAAATTTTCCACTGCGTAAGCCACTGGTAGAGCAGTGTTGGTGCAGGAATTATTTTTAGACTCCCAGGTTCTTGAAGACAAACATAAGCAGCATTTTCTCTACATGATTTATAAAGACAGAATCACAGAATCACCAAGGTTAAAAAAGACTTTCAACATCATCCAGTCCAACCATTCACCTGCCATCAATATTTCCTACTAAACCATATCCCTCAGTACAACATCTAGATGTTTATGAAAGGTCTCCAGGGACGTTGATTCCACCACCTCCCTGGGCAGCCTGTTCTAACAGCTAACCAGTTTTTCAGAGAAGAAATTTTTCCTAATACCTAATCTGAACCTCCGCTAGCACAGGTTGAGACCGTTCCCTTTTTTCCTATCAATGCTTGCATGGGAGAAGAGGCTGATCCGCTCCTCACCACAACCTCCTTTCAGGGAGTTGTAGAGGGCAATAAGGTGTTCCCTGAGCCCCCTCTTCTCCAGACTAAACAATCACAGCTCTCTCAATAGCTCCCCATAAGATTCGTCCTTCAGACCCCTCACAACTTCATTGCCCTTCTCTGAACATGCTCTGGGGCCTCATTGTCTTCCTTGTAGTGAGGGGCCCAACACTGAACAAGTACTCGAGGTATGGCTTCACCAGGGCTGAGTACAGAGGGATGATCACTTCCCTGCTCCTGCTGGCAATGCAATTTCTGATGCAAGCCAGGATGCCATTGGCCTTCTTGGCCACCTGAGCCCATTGGGTTATGTCCAGCCAAGCCTGGACCAACACTCCTAGGTCCATTTCCTCTACACAGCCTTCCAGATGCTCTGCCCCAAGTTTGTAGCATTGCCTAGGGTTGCTGTGGCTGAAGTGCAGGACCTGGCACTTGGTCTTGTTGAACTTCATCCCATTGACCTCAACCCAGATATGCAGCCTGTCCAAATCCCTCAGCAGGGCCTTCATACTCCCTGGTATATTGACACTTCCCCCCAGCTTGGTGTCCTTTGCAAACTTACTGAGAGTGAGCTCAATCCCCTCATCCTGGTCATCAATAAAGATATTAAACAGGGCCAGCCCCATTACCACCCATACTATCTGGGCCTGGTCCCCCAGTTGTCTCACACATGCCATGCGATCTCACTCAAGGTGGTCTGTTCCATAAACTTTCTTGTCATTGAGGTCAGGATTACAGGCCTGTAGTTCCCTAGATCCTCCTTACAACCATTCTTGTAGATGGGACTCATCTTGGCAAGCCTCCTTGGGGACCTCTCTGACTGACCAGGAATACTTGGTAGGTAGTGGAAAGCAGCTTGGCTATCACCTCTGCCAGATCCTTCAGCACTCTTAGGAGGATCCCATCTTGCCCCATCGACTTGTGACAGTCCTGGTGGAGTAGTAGGTCACTAACTCTTCCCACTTGTGATTCCCAATATTCCATCTGTCTGGCCAAGCAGAGGCAGCATATTCCATAACTTTGTTAGCAATTTGCAGGTGGGTCAGTGATTACCAATATGATGATTGCTTGGACATCACTGTAGGGAGAGAAGTGTATTGCCCACTGCCTTTCTGGGAACAAGGCACTAATTAGAGTATCAACTCCATAGCCACATACAGAGGCTTTCCTGCCTCTTGTTCACCAGTCTTTGCATGTGTCCAAGATTGCCCCATCCTACCTGCACTGTCTGATACTTGTCCTTGTTATGCTTCACGCAGTTGGTGGTTGCTCTCTAATTTTACAGTACCTCTCTGTGGTTTCTGTGAGTCAACATCTCCTCTTAGTTTAGTACCGCCTGCAAACTAGGTGTGCATTCGAGTCCTGCATCCTGATCATTAACAAAAGCATTTAAGAGAACTGACC